CTCGTCGATGACAAAACGACGTACTTATATATCGATTTCAAAAGGTTTTTTTTATATTTACATGAACGTGATACACGTAAACGCCTAGTGGTTTAAGGTTTTGTTACATTACACGCATTGCAGACTTTATTTTTAAGTACACTACGGGCACTATAATATTATTGTACAATAGGAAAATTATTAACATGTTAAAGTGTAATTGACTTATCGAACACGACGTGAATTTTAAAATAGTATACGTAAAATATAATTAATATTAAATTTGATTTAATAACAATAATACATGTATCAGTAATGTTTTTTTGGTTTTCAATTTAATTAATTTTTTATTTTCGATTTAAGTTTTTGGCAAATTATTCGAAAAAAAATTATATATTAGATCTTTATTATCCCATTGGCTCAAATCCAACATTCAAAGACTTTGGGTTTTTTATTCAATCAATTATCTCCTTATCAAAACCCGACAAAACTGATGAATTTCAGTTATGAAATAAATTAAATTTTTATGGTCACACTTAAATTTGTATTAATTTAAATGTTGTTATTGTTCATTTTTAGTTTTTTGAAAGGCTCTTTTCCCCAACAAGTTCAATCTCAACCATCTCAATTCTCTTAGTTCTATAATTTAAAATTTGTCTTACTATACTCGCTAATCGCTCTCATATATCATATTAATTCCTAAAATCCTATCCAACATGGTTACACTATACTATTTTTACTTTAAGTACAGACCATTGAGAGCTTTTGCTAAGTCCCTCCATCTGGCATGATTCAATACATCATCCGGTTTTGCTTATCCACTGTATTCAGGGTCTTTACTTATTGGGATGTTTACCGTTTAGTTTATTGATAAAGTGCATATTCGTAAATTACTCTCTCCAGTTTGTGATATTTTATGTTAGGTTTCTCAATACTCTTAAATCTATGTTTTTTTTTTTCACATTAGGTACATTTCTGTTTTCATTCAATGTCAGGACGTCATTTCAGTGGTCTCAATGGTACAAGAGTACCTAACATACGTATCATCTTTGCAGCTGGACCTGTCAATATTCTTACAATATATACATTATTTTTTGCGAACTCATGTACCCATATTATGTTAATGTTCAATAATAGCGGTGCAGTTATTCATGATTATAGTGCGCAGTGAAAGAACCGGCCTAGGAGAAGTCTGCAAATAGGTATCATAGAGGTCAGAGAGAGACCGTGAGGAATTGCCACGAGGATATATTTCATGTATGTCGGTCGGAAATGGATTTGTGTTTACAATATTATTATAATATGTGCGTGTGTTTCATAAATATATATATATATATAGATCTAGACGCATGTATAATATTATTTGCATATCATCGCGTGCGCGTGCAATAGTTATGTATGTAAACGCGTATCGGTTTCAAATTGGCTTTTGTTCGCCGTAGAAGGATGGAAACTGCGAGGCTGCGGAACGGTGCGAACCAGGCACGATATAATGCTCATATATAATAATTTAATAATATTATTTGAAACGTACGAGCTACGGACGAGAGACGAGTTGATTTATGGGCTCGCGACCTCAGCGGTGACTGCGGTTACGGCTGTGGTGTCGCAGTCGCGTTCTGAAAACTGCACGACAACGGTACGAATAACCGTTTTCGTTGTCACTTTTGAGCCCACCGACACTGTAAGCAACGGTACGTGTGTTTAATTTTGTTTTCCAGTCCAGTTATCTCAAAAATGAGTAATAATATCTAACGAAATCATCCACCGTTTTTCTTTTAAAACAATATTTAAAATAACTTTCAATTTAACACAAGCTGATCCCTTCGAACTGTATTAACATAATTTACTCACGTAACAATTTTTCTTGCCCATATTCAGAGCACTAACATGATGGTCGTCCCCAGACAATTTTCTAGGGGCGAAATGTATATTATTGTGTAGCGGATAAAAATTATTTATTTCCATATAAGCACTCAAACTACGATAAGATAAAATAACCCAATTATTATCAAAGAGAGCTTTGTTTTATTCTATAGTTTTTTTTCTATTTATTTTTATTTACCAAAAATTAAAGTATTCTATGTCTACTAAATTGGTGCGTAACCAATAATGCTTGGGAAAACAAATTTAAAATTCTAAAGGGTTAGCCAGTGTACCGTCTGCACCCCCCCCCCCTGAGAACGCCCATGAATAATGCCAATAATTCGAATTAATTCAGTTCCAAAATTAAATTTATTATAAAATATTGTCATACACTATATTATATTCAACGAATACAAAAAAATATAATCCTTAATTTTTTTGTTACATCACATATTTCAACAGAAATTCTAGCAAACTGGGTAGCAAGGTTGTCTAACCGCGTTTTTTAATTCGAAACCTAAAACTTTATGTTTAACAAGTAATTTGCCCTGAACAGAGCGCAATCCAAAGATGGCCTTGAGGACGTCGGTCAATGACGATTATTTAGAGTTGGATAAATCATCCTTTGAGGAAACGTTTAAAATAGAGCAAGTTTAGATATGTGATATTTAAGTTTGCGACATTTTACAAAAGTGAGGGTGAACAGAGTGGTGAGAATTTAGGCGGACAATTTGTATGAGACCAAAAGGAGCACTTTAAAAATGGGATGTAGCTTAAAATGCAACGATTCTGCTAGAAGGTAACACCCAGTGAACTCATGCAGGCAACCAAAATTCCAGCAACCAGGAGTTTGTGTCACCTGTGAACTCAACGGTGTGCCGTGTAACAGATAACGATGCAAACGTACCTATAGTTGAACGGTGTCGTGTCGGTGACATAGCTGATCGACAGAACGGTGATTACAATAGAATAATACAACTTACACAAGGAAGCAGAAAAGAAAATATGGCAGAACACAACGAAGGTACATATAGAAGGATTACGAATAGGAACATAGATACGGATAAAGAGAATCAGACGAACTAGAGTAAAACTTTTGAAGTTAACGTAGTAATAAGAAAATTAGAGAAAGCACAAAAATGAATAGCGAAAGTGCTGTTGAAAATATGTACAAAGATGATCAGCTAGAGATCTATAATCTATAGATAATAATACGTGAAGTTAAACAAAAAATGTTTGTGAATCATGTTAATACAAGCTTTTACAAACGCGTGTTTTTATGCAAGTAATATATATTATATAGTTGGAACTTTGATTAAAGCCAAAAGTAAACCATAAATAAATGCATCGGATAAATAGGTATGTATTTTAATCGCGCATCAGTGTAAAATTTCCATAATTGATTTTTTATTATTCTACAAAACGTGAGTTCCAAATCACGTTTTACACAACCGCGATTATCCACGAATTTATTATAATTAAACGAGAACCGATTTTTCTCTTTTTATACGTATATTATATAGGTAGGTAATATACTCGGTATATGTTTAATCTTGTCGTATTTGTATAGGATTTAATGAAAACCACCAATAATTTATTTTGTAATTTCAAGTATCTGTGGGTGTTCTACAGTAAAACGGTTTCTGGGTTTTAATAATATTTTATAATAGACACCTATAATAATAATAATGTTTATTTTATACGATATTGAAAATATAAAAATTGACCTGAATTGAGAAAAACGGCAAAATATTGTGTTAGTGATATTCAAAAAACAAATTATAAAATAACTCATAAAATGCTTAGACAATTGATTTAATCTTGTTGATTAGATTTGATCAATTATTTTTCAAATAAAATGTGTTATTATTATTATTTTATTTTACTTTTTTTTTTGTTGTAATTTGAATATGCTATAATCAGGTATATTTTAGATATCAAATTAATACCACAGTATTCCCTACAAAGTTCGCTTATAAATAGATGCCTCACTTTATTTTATTTAATTCTTGCGACATTGACATTTGGTGTCAACATATCGTACAAAAATATGCAAAAATGATAAGCCATATGGATTCATATGAGAGTCTGGCAGGATGTAACAGAAAATATTTATTTTTAACTGACGCAAATAATCTAAAAGTAAACATTAAAAAAAAAAAAAGGTTTGGAGGTAAAACGAAATTTCAAAATATGTTGTTATTGAATCACTTTCTCGGTCTATAGTTCATGTATTGAGGACACACTATTTAGAAACACTGAATAATTAATAAATATGAAATATTCAAATTATATTATATTATTTTATTTTTCAAAATGTAATAAATTTCGGTGAAGGGAACTTTATGCCATAAAAATAATTAATAACAGTACAATATATAAGTCGACGCTAAGATATAAACTCGATTTTTTGTGATATAAATTATACACCTACTCACATAAATCGCTTTAACTCCGTATTTTATATCTTGAGCATAGGTAGAGAAGAATATATTGGGTTTATATATTTCTTTTTCTGTCTTAACTAATTGTCTACCAGCAATCATGTTCCAATCAAACAAATTTAAATACCTATTTTATTAAATATTTGATATGGTTTAGACATTAAGGAGATCATTTTTTTGATTTTCCACGTAGTTTTCATTATAATTAAGAAAATCTATAAAAAACGTAAAATAAAAACGAAAGAATTTAGGGCGTTAACGGTTTCATTATTTAAATTGGGAACGGGTGCCGTGTTGCCACTGTTATAGATAATTTTAAGCAACAATAAACCATTACTTACGAAAAAACGATCCTGAGCGGAGTTCAGTTAATAGGGATGCTTTTTCAACAATATGTGTTAGTCATTTTATAGCAAAATATTTAAATAGGCTTTATATATTTTCTTTAATAATATTTGTTTAATTTTGTACCGATTTTCCCAGTTTTCTTACATTTTTCTTGGTTTTCCCATATTTTATCCCGGTTTTTTACATTTGCTGGGAAAACTTTTGAGAAAATCGAAAAATGACCTATCTAGCAAGTCTTCTAGTAGAAAAGTTGTGCACAGATAAAAAAAAAAAAACATCTTTGTAAAACTATAAACTTCATTACTTTATTTAGAATCTAAAATTTGGTCGATTTTCTTTTTCCATCATAAATGTCAAAATTAACATATTTTCTGACACAAACATTATTTAGTTGGTGAGTAAGAAACTGTTCTTTTGATTTTCTTAGTAGTTTCCTTAATAATTGGGACAAACTATACTGTAGTATACTAGTATTACTATTTATTATCACCACTAGAAATCTAAGAATGTCCGAAAATAGACTATGAAGAGCAATATCATGTAGACTTATTTATTATAACGGGTAAGGAGCATGAGAAGAAAATTGGACAATGATCTACAAAAGAAATGGATAACACAACCTACGGTCACAGACTTAAGCTTCATATAGATGGAAAACGATCCAAATACTTGGGCATGGAATGCTAAGAATCAAAAATGATATATGCAGAAGAATCTAGTTTAATTATATAACTTCGATAATATTATTATCAACATTTCGTCCATATAAACGTCAACTTATTATTTTTGCTAACTCGCTAACTTGTTTATACATTTTTACCATGAACGTTTATTATATTTATCGTCTAATTTATCTTAATTCTAAATTTATCGCTATTGTATATAATGAATAATACTATGAATGCGACAACAATATACCTCTTGTTTACTATCGTTATGACTACTGACGTGCATGATACTAACGGATAAATCAAAGTAGAACCATCGGAGTAGAATCGGTTTAATAGGTTTGTTCGGGCTCGTTGAACTATTATTACGAGAATATTATTATATTTTGAACGAGGCGTCGTGAATATGCATCGCGATGATAAAATCATAGATTAATGATTCTACCAATCATTTTGTAAAGTTGAATAACGATGGTTTAATAATATTAATCCAGAATATTCTTTAATGTAAATAAGTGTGCTGTGGTAACATCGCGTACAGCTTGAAAGTCATGAAAGCTAAAATACATTAAAATCACTAAGCCACAAAAAAAAAAAATCAATAAACTGCTAATAATTAATACGAAATATTCTTTATTTATCAATTTAAGGTGAAAATATTCCCAAATTTCGTGTTAATAATATATGTGTAAACTACAGTGATATACTCATAATTTAAATTTCTTTTTAGAACAATCGCTCTGTTTTCATATATGTTTTCAAAGAATAAAGTAATTGTTATAATACTACTGCTAACTATTACATCGTGAACTGCAACAATAATACAAAAGATATCGTGTTGCAAATTTTTAAAATTATTTTCAAATTTAATTTGCGTTTACTTGTTAATATTTTAAGATTCTAAAGTGGTTTTAGAACGATAGGTAAGACTTAGCTACTGATAATACCTACTGATCTTAATATTATAATTTTGTATATTATTTGCTGACCTATTTTGTATGTATAATATAATATAATTAATTATACAATATACATACATATTTTAACGAAATCCAAAAATGCAGATGCTGCATATTTATTATCAAAAACAAAAATAATACAAATGTAACAATACTGTGGTATCTACACCATTCGTTTTTTCCTCCAGTGATAATTATCACATAATATAATTTTAAATTCTGGAAAATTATATATTAATATAATCATATTAATATCAATATAATAATCAATATCAAGTTTGTTATCAACACATGATTAACCGAACTTCACACAGAATTATTGTTCGTTATCAATAGTTTGTTGCTGTGTAGAGATATGAATTGAATTACCTTATATATCCTAATTTCCTATCTACAACAATGGCCAACCATATAGGCAGAATTTGATAAAACAATTTTTGAAAGTATTTTCAAAATATTTCAAATATTCGGAGTATTTTAAAAATAGATACAATATACTAGTTTCAAAATATTTAAAGCTAAGTTTGGGTGACTTAAGGAAGCTACAGATATTTATGATGATACGTATCATGATTATGCTTTATCATTTAAAAATTAGAAATTTCAAAAAATGTTTAATAATTTTAAAAATCAATTACCTACTACCTAAATAAATTGAAAGAGAAAGCAGAAAAGCAGTGTTTTGAAGGAATAAAATACTTTTTGATTCAGAAAACTGCCCATGTCTGCTCATGAGCAATATATTATCCTGTACAAGGAGCGTATCGGCAATATAAACACCCATAATTTACTGGCATTTTTAATCTGTTAGTTTTTCGCCTGTGTTTGAATGAAATTTTTCGGAAATTAAAACCATACAGAGATGAACTTCTAAATATCGGACTTTATTTATTTCTATAATAAAAAATAAAATATGTTTATTTTAAATTCTGAATGGAGTGAGGGATGTATTGATTTTACAGTGATGTTTATTTTTTTTTTTTTATTTGTGAACAACTTACGGTTAAGTGATAAATTTGGTGAATGGTGGAAGCCGAATTGGTTGTGAGGGATTGCTTTTTTATCACTGACAGTTTTCGATGTGCGTCTAATAATTCGTTTTTGATAAGGTTTGGCAAAGAAAGGAAGAAGGCTTATTGATCTATATGAAGATAGGATGTCCGGGGGTTTGCCAGGTTTTGGGAATAAGGCAGAAACTTTCCATTGGAGAAGGAAGTGTGAAAGTCTTAGAACAGAGTTGAGAATATGGGTGATAATTGCTTTTTTGAGGAGTTGTCGAGCAACCTTGGTGGTTATAAGATCTATCCTAGATGATTTTTTAATAGGAAAATATTTAGTATAGTATTGAATTTCACCTGAAGAGAACGATTTCATTTTCATAAATTTAAAAAAAAATTATCAAACTAAATGAATACGAATGCAGTATCGTAGCTTTCTGTGACCCGGGGGTTGGAGCGTTATTCAAAGACAACAATATTACTATTAGATAAAACTGATAAATATTATTTTTATACAAAGAAAATGACGTTTATCATGGACTAAAATAATTTAGTCCGTGGTGTTTTGAATAATATTAACGAAATAAAACAAAACATGTGTTCACGCATAATTGGTTCATTTATGCGTTGGTTTTTAGGTTTATGCTCTATTCAAAATAATAGCTTTTTAGATGTAGCAAAATTATTCTCAATGTTTTTAATGTTTATATTATATTAAATTATTTTTACCAAATATTGGAGAGCGTTTTCACGAAACTAAACAAATTTAATACACATGAATTAAAAAATGGACACCGTTTTCGTGTCACTCACTTGTAACGGGCTAAATGTAGTATTAAGACTTGGAGGAAAAATGTTTGAAAAAAATCAAATTTCAACTTGAGTTTATAAATAATTAATATTTTCCACACAAAAACCTACAAGTCCAAATATTTCAATTCACAAACATCGAAAAATATTTTAAGTCCAATTTAATTTCATACACAAAAATATTACAGGTCCAAAAATATTTCATAAAACAGAGTGACGCGAAGTTGCTCGCATTTGATCGTGGTGGACTCGTTTGATTAGACGATGTTCGAGCGGCTTTATATATTTAATGTCATACTCCCGTAACCCTTTATTTGTAGCCACTGCTATCTATATTTTATTGCTGGATTCTAGCGACGGCCATAACGTATGTAACTAAAATTACATATGTATTGATATACTATTAATATTATAACGTGTTTATACAATGTTACGATCTAGGCCCACTCATAACGGTATTTTTATTTGTTTAGAATACTAGTGACGTAGGTCCATGTGCCAAAACTATATTTCGGTGCTGTATACTCTACAAGCCTACTGCATCGGGTAGGTATTCGTACCCTATGTATGATGAGTATTATCGTATACGGCTCGCACGAGTCTCTTGTGGAAGGCGCGAGTGGGCACGTAACACCCTCAAATTGGATTTTGGACATTATTGCATAATTTTCTGTTTGAAATTTAAGGGATTTCCCCTCACCTCCCTTCTTCCCTTCATACGATTCTTTGAGGAAAAGCTATATCATTCAAATTTGTAGAATTCTTGTGGTGTGGCCAAATGGACATGCACATTGCGTTAATTATGATGGTCTTATCAACTGCAATTGTTTTTACTATGTAAAAACAAGGTAATATATTATGAATAGTTGGAGAAATATTAAAATATATTTATACAAAAGGTTTAGAACTTTTAAATACTCTACAAAATGTTAATATTTCTTTCGGTTACAAAATATTTAAGGATATGTTCTGTATATATTTAAAAATATAATAAGATCAAACTTCAAGTTCAAGTCAGAACAGGTTAACCTTATCTGACTTACCCAAAACTATTATAGCTATGATTATATATTTACTAATATAAGGATGAAACCAAAAAAACTTTAAAACTTAATCAAAATTCTGCCCTTTTTGGTTGGAAGGGGGAAAAGTTACATTTGTGATACATGGGCCGGTTTAATTCATATGTCCTCTATATATCTTACCTTCTCAACTTTTCATCTAATATAATGGCTTACCCATCGTGTGAAGTACATTCGTATCCGTATCTTTGTGTATATCTTTTTGATGTTCTTTTAAACGATATAAAATATATTGTGAAAACTATTGTATTCAGCAAAAAGACACCTATAATTCAATTTCATTTTTATTTTCAGTCACTTCAAAATGTGAATCAATTGTACTATAAAGTGTTTCGGTAATTCGGTAAATATTATATTATCATTATCATGGGCATCCGTAGACTTTTTTACAGGGGGAGAGGGTCAAACATAATATAAAAAATAAATAGCGATTTTGTTTTATAAAATAAATTCTTAACTTTAATACATCATAATTACTACGGGTATTTTTAAGACCAGAAGTCTAGTAATTTAGATAAAATTATGTTTTTTACATTAATAATAACTAATTTTAGATTTTTCCTCCTCTCCCAGTTTATATTTCTACGGGGCTTTTTGCATAGGTACTTTCAATCATATTATAATTTCAAAAACCTTATTTTAATTAATACTGAACTATAAAACGCGTCTAAACGTTTCAGATATCAAATTTAAGCGACAAATAAAAATGTCGTAGGCTCGTAAAAACATAAACTGCTGCAGTTACTGTATAACTAAATATAGACACTGCATTTATTACGTTTACCTTATCTTTGTATAGATAAATCATTCTCTTATATTCGTGCGAAATAACAATAGGGTTTATTTTTCGGCCTTTAAAAGAACAGTTGAATTTCTCATGAGTTTTTTTTTTTTTTTTTACTACATTTCTTATGTTTAGTTTTTCTCTTGATGTTTCGTCTAGTTAACTGGAACAGACAGTTTGATTCGTATACTTCTATGAGGTTAGATATTTTTATATTCGTTTCACGTCAAACTATTCGATTAATTTGTTATGGCATTAATTTTATAAATATTTCAAAACGCAAACAAT